GATAGATAGATAGATAGATAGATAGATAGATAGATAGATAGATAGATAGATAGATAGATAGATAGATAGATAGATAGATAGATAGATAGATAGATAGATAGATAGATAGATAGATAGATAGATAGATAGATAGATAGATAGATAGATAGATAGATAGATAGATAGATAGATAGATAGATAGATAGATAGATAGATAGATAGATAGATAGATAGATAGATAGATAGATAGATAGATAGATAGATAGATAGATAGATAGATAGATAGATAGATAGATAGATAGATAGATAGATAGATAGATAGATAGATAGATAGATAGATAGATAGATAGATAGATAGATAGATAGATAGATAGATAGATAGATAGATAGATAGATAGATAGATAGATAGATAGATAGATAGATAGATAGATAGATAGATAGATAGATAGATAGATAGATAGATAGATAGATAGATAGATAGATAGATAGATAGATAGATAGATAGATAGATAGATAGATAGATAGATAGATAGATAGATAGATAGATAGATAGATAGATAGAGAGATAGATAGATAGATAGATAGATAGTTAGATAGATAGATAGATAGATAGATAGATAGATAGATAGATAGATAGATGATAGATAGATAGATAGATAGATAGATAGATAGATAGATAGATAGATAGATAGATAGATAGATAGATAGATAGATAGATAGATAGATGATAGATAGATAGATAGATAGATAGATAGATAGATAGATAGATAGATAGATAGATAGATAGATAGATAGATAGATAGAAAGAAAGAAAGAAAGAAAGAAAGAAAGAAAGAAAGAAAGAAAGAAAGAAAGAAAGAAAGAAAGAAAGAAAGAAAGAAAGAAAGAAAGAAAGAAAGAAAGAAAGAAAGAAAGAAAGAAAGAAAGAGTTTAATTACTTTAATGTTTAATGCAAATGACATTTGATGACATTGACGTTTGAAAACGTTGACGTTTTCAAGACATTGAAGACATTGAAGACAAAGAAAACAAGAGACAGAAAGAGAGAAAAAGAGAAAGGAAAAGAGAGAAAAAAAGAGAGAAAAAAAGTGAGCAAAAGAGAGAGAAAAAGAGAAAAAGAGTAAGAAAAAGAGGGAAAAAGAGTAAGAAAAAGAGAGAGAAAAAGAGAAAAAGAGAAAAAGAGAAAAAAAAAAGAGTGAGAAAAAGTGAGAGAAAAAGAGAGAGAAAGAGGGATAAAGGGATAGAAATAGGGAGAAAGAGAGAGAAAAGTTTAATTACTTTAATGTTTAATGCAAATGACATTTGATGACATTGACGTGTGAAAACGTTGACGTTTCATGACATTGACGTTTGACGACGCATCACAAAATCACATTTATCACATTTATCACATTTATCACATTAAATAAAAATAAACAAACAGGTACAAAAAATAGGGCAACTACAAACAGGGCATCTACCAACCCTATTTGACGAGAGAGAAAGAGATAGTGAGAAAGAGAGAAAGAAAGAGTGAGAAAAAGAGAGAGAGAAAGAAAGAGAAAGAGAAAGAGAAAGAGAAAGAGAAAAAGAAAAGTTTATTTACTTCAATGTTTGATTCATGTCATTGATTCATGTCATTGATTTCATGTCATTTCATGACATTGACGTTTGACATTGACGTTTGACGACGCATCAAAAATCACACATTTATCACATTTATCACATTTATCACATTTAATAAAAATAAACAAACAGGTACAAGAAATGGGGCAACTACAAACAGGGCATCTACCAACCGTATTTAACGGCCTGCGTCCTACCTCCGAAATATCGCGATCTGACGCCCCAATCGGTGTCGCTGGTCGAACGGCAATGCGACAACGCCACCAACAATTTGCGAATAATCTTCGAGAAACCGGCCGACGAGAGAAAGGACTTCGCCGTTTGCGTGAAAGGATTGGATTTCCTGCACGAGGACCTGTCGGTGCGATTGGTCGAATGGATCGAATTGTTGAATCTGTTGGGCGCCGATAAGGTTTATTTCTACGAGTTGCAGGTGCATCCGAACATCAGTAAGGTGTTGAAGCACTACGAGACGGAGGGGAAGGTGAGCTGGTGGTATTTTTGTATTTTTTTGTTTTTTTTATTTTTTTTTTTTGATGTTTTTTTCATTTTTGCAAGTTTTTTCGTTTTTTTTTCCACTTTTTTTATGTTTTTTCATTTTTTGCAAGTTTTTTTTTCCATTTTTTTCATGTTTTTTTTTTCCTTTTTTCTATATGTTTTCCACATTCTCTATGTTTTGTCACTTTTCCACATTTTTTTCACCTTTTCTAGGTTTTTCCACATTCTCCCATGTTTTTTCACTTTTTTCTGTTTTTTACCTTTTTCATATTTTTCTTTTTTTGCATGTTTTTTCATTTTTCTATGTTATTCCACTATTTCCATGTTCTGTCACTTTTTCTAGGCTTAATTAATCTTTTCTAGGTTTTTTTCACTTTTTTCTATCTTATTCCACTTTCCATGATTTTTCTACATTTTCTACTTTTTCTTCATTTTTTTACTTTATCTGTTTTTCCACTTTATCCACATTTTTTCACTTTTTCTAGGTTTTTCCACATTCTCCCATGTTTTTTCACTTTTTTCTGTTTTTTACCTTTTTCATATTTTTCTTTTTTTGCATGTTTTTTCATTTTTCTATGTTATTCCACTTTTTCCATGTTTTGTCACTTTTTCCACATTTCTTCACTATTTCTAGGCTTAATTAATTTTTTCTAGGTTTTTTTTCACTTTTTTCTATCTTATTCCACTTTCCATGATTTTTCTACATTTTCTACTTTTTCTTCATTTTTTTACTTTATCTGTTTTTCCACTTTTTCCACATTTTTTCACTTTTTCTAGGCTTCATCACTTTTTATAGGATTTTCCACTTTCTCCATGTTTTCATTTTTTTCCATGTTTTTCATATTCTTTTTTTGCACGTTTTTCCGTTTTTTTGTTATTTCAGTTTTTTCGTGTTTTTTTTCTTTTTCTACATTTTTTTTACTTTTTCTATGTTTTTTCCACTTTTTGTCATGTTTTTTCTTTTTTTACACTTTTTTATGTTTTTTCATTTTTGGCAAGTTTTTTTCCATTTTTTCAACGTTTTTTTTCTATGTTTTCCACTTTCTCTATGTTTTGTCACTTTTCCACATTTTTTCACTTTTTCTAGGTTTTTCCACATTCTCCCATGTTTTTTCAATTTTTTCCATGTTTTCTTTTTCATTTTTCATCTTATTCCACTTTCCATGATTTATACTTTTTCTACATTTTTTTACCTTTTCTGTTTTTCCACTTTTTCCATATTTACTTTTTTACCATGTTTTTTCACTTTTTCCACATTTTTTCACTTTAACTAGGCTTCATTACTTTTTATAGGATTTTCCACTTTCTCCATGTTTAATTTTTTCCATGCTTTTCATATTCTTTTTTTGCACGTTTCTTCATTTTTTCTGTTATTTCAGTTTTTCCGTGTTTTTTGCTTTTTCTACATTTTTTTTTTACTTTTTCTGTTTTTTTTTCCACTTTTTCCACTTTTTGCCATGTTTTTTCTTCTTTTTTCACTTTTTTTTTTATTAAAAAAAAGGATGTGTGTTCAAATTTCACTTATTTTATGCAAATAATGCATATTTTTCCAATTTTTCTGTTATTTCACTTTTTTCCATGTTTGGTACCTTTTCTACATTTTTTCCACTTTTGTCATGTTTTTTTTACTTTTTTCATTTAATTTTTTGCATGTTTTTCTGCTTTTTTCAAATTTTTTTGATATTGTTCCATTTTTTGCTTGTTTTTCCTCTTGTAACCATGTTTTTTGCACTTTTATGTTTTGTCACTTTTCCATGTTTTCCATTTTTTCACATTTCCTCCTTTTTTTTTCATTCTTTCATGTTTTTCCATTTTTTTACATGTTTTTTCACTTTATCCATTTTTTTCCATTTTTTAATCAGTCAACAAAGCACCGAAGCGCTACGGGTGAGAAAAAAAGGTACATCACTTGTCACTTGTCGATAGGGGGATAGAGATGGGTAGAAAAGGGTTGGGAGGGGAAGAAGAGAGTTACAGGAGGAGGGATGGGAAGAGAAAGGTAGAAGAGGGTAGGAGGAAGGTGGAAGTAGGATAGAGAGTAGAAGAGGAGAGAGAAGGGGGTAGAGAGGCGAAAATGAAGGGAGGGGAACGAGTAAAAGAGTAAACTAGGAAAGAGCTGGGATGGTAAAAGGAATGTGACAAAGGGAAGAGGAAAGTAGAAAAGGGTTGGGAGGGGAAGAGGAAGATAGTAGAAGTATGGAGGGGAAAAGAAAGGTAGAAAAGTGTAGGGAGGGGAAGAGGAAGGTAGAAAAGTGTAGGGAGGAGAAGAGGAAGGTAGAAAAGGGTTGGGAGGGGAAGAGTAAAGTAGAAAAGGGCTGGGAGGGGAAAAGGAATGTGACAAAGGGAAGAGGAAAGTAGAAAAGGGTTGGGAGGGGAAGAGGAAGATAGTAGAAGTATGGAGGGGAAAAAATGTAGAAAAGTGTAGGGATGGGAAGAGGAAGACGTAATTTTAGACGTAATTTTACACGTTTTTGTTTTCTTTTTTTACTCAAAACAAACTTTTTACTCTTTTTTACTCTTTCTTTACTACTTTTTTAGGTTCACGTGACGCCAATTAATCTAGCAGGCGGGCAACCGAACGCGCCATCTTTCCAGCATCTCTATCTAACGAAAAAGACGAATCACAAGCGACAAAACGAGCTGATACCCTACAACGATTGTTTCTACAAGCACATGTACAAGTACAAGTGAGTCCGATTTTGTCCATTTTTTTTTACCCGCATCAATTTTTAATAAATAATTTAGACAGTTAGAAATAGGTAGAAAGGGGAAGAGGAAGATAGTAGAGGACCTAGGAAGGGTAAGAGAAAGATAGAAAAGGGTAGGGAGGGGAAGAGGAAGATAGTCGAAAGGTAGGGAGGAGGATAAGGAAGGTGGAAAAGGGTAAAGAGGGGAAGCGGAACATATTAAGGGGTAGGAAGGGAAAGAGAAAGAGAAAAGGGTAGGGAGGAGAAGAGGAAGGTAGAAAAGGGTAGGGAGGGAAAGCGCAAGATAGTAAGAGGGTAGGGGATAGGGAAGAAATGTAGCTTGTAGTTTGTACAAGCACATGTACGAGTAGAAGTGAGTTCAATTTTGTCCAATTTGTACCCACATCGATTATAATAAATAATGTAGATAGGTAGTAAAGGGTAGAAAGGGGAAGAGGATGATATTAGGGCGTTGGAAGGGGAGGAAAGAAAAGGCTAGGAAGGAAAAGCGGATGATGGTAGGCGGTAGGGAGGGGAAAAGGAAGGTAGAAAGAGTAGAGAGGAGAAGCGGAACATACTAGGGGGTAGGAAGGGAAAAAGGAATATAGAAAAGGGTAGGGATGAGAAGAGGAAGGTAGAAAAGGGTAGGGAGGAAACGCGGAAGATGGTAGGCGGGTAGGGAGGGGAAAAGGAAGGTAGAAAAGGGTAGGGATGAGAAGAGGAAGGTAGAAAAGAGTAGGGAGGAAAAGCGGAAGATGGTAGGGGTGGTAGGGAGGGGAAAAGGAAGGTAGAAAAGGGTAGGGAGGGGAAGAGGAATGTAGCTTGTAGCTTTTACAAGCACATGTACGAGTACAAGTGAGTTCAATTTTGTTCAATTTGTACCTACATCGATTATAATAAGTAACTTAGATAGGTAGCAAAGGGAAGAGGAAGATAGTAGGGTGCAGGGAGGAGAAAAGGAAGGTAGAAAGGGGCAGAGAGGGAAGAGGAAGCTAGAAAAAGGTTGGGTGGGGAATAGGAAGATAGTAGGGGATAGGGAGGGGAAAAAGCTTGCTAAAAAAAGGTAGGGAGGAGAAGAGGAAGGTAGAAAAGGATAGGGAAGGGATGAGGAATGTAGAAAAGGGTAGGGAGATGAAGAGGAAGATAGAAGGTGGTAGGAAGGGGAAGAAAAAATATAAAAAAAAATTGGGTGGGGAAGAGGAAGATAGTAGGCGATAGGGAGGGGTGAAAAGCTTGCTAGAAAAGGGTAGGGAGAAGAAGAATTATGTAGTACAGTATAAATGAGTCATTTGTCCAATTTGTACCATATAAATTATAAAAAAAATTAATTGTATTCGCAATGGCCGTTTTAGGTACATAATACTATTGGACATAGACGAGGTGATCATGCCGTTGGACGGTACCACTTGGAAGGGATTAATGGAGAAAGTACTACCGAAGGCTTTGAAGATAAACAAAGAGGAAAGGGCCTCGTACAACGTGAGAAACGTGTACTTTTTGGACGATCTCATCCACAATCACGGCTGGTTTAAGGAAATACCGAGGTAAGAAATTAATGGAGATTTGTTGATAACAGTGATTTTGTAACGGTTACTTGTCACTTGTCACTACTAACTAGATTAGGTGTGTGTGTATGTGTGTGTCAAATGTCAAGAAAAACGAGACATGACGTTGTGGCTATAGTCCAGTTCCCGTGCACATAACATGTTCAGCACATATTCGAACAAACTGGGGTTATTTCGGATATTTGGGTATTTTTTGAAATTTTTCGAATTAAAGAATTGTAAAAGAATGTTTTTTCTATAAAGTGGTGAAAATTTCGTTTTTCTATCTCGATTGGTTTTCGAGATAATTAGGGGTTTTGTGGTGTTGTTTAATTTTTTCGAAAAAACTCGAAATATTTCGGAAATTTGGGCATTTTTCGAAATTATTCAAATTGCAAAATTGTATGAGAATGTTTTTTCTATAAAATGGTGAAAATTTCGTTTTTCTATCTCGTTTAGTTTTGAGATAATTGGGGTTTTTGTGGTAGAAAGGTTGTGTACTTTTTTCGAAAAACTAGAAATCTTTCGGAAATTTTGACATTTTCAAAATTTTTCAATTCCAAAATTATACAAGAATGTTTTTTCTACAAAATGGTGAAAATTTCGTTTTCCTATCTCGATTAGATTTGGAGATAATTGTAATTTTTGATGATATTATTAAAGAAAAGTTATGTACAACTCGAAATATTTGGGAAATTTTGACATTTTTCGAAATTATTCAATTCCAAAATTATACAAGAATGTTTTTTCTACAAAATGGTGAAAATTTCGTTTTTCCCATCTCGATTATTTTTCTAGATAATTAGAGTTTTTTGGTGATATATTTATAGAAAAGTTTTATGTTTTTTTAGCGAGTTTACGTTCTGGCTCTAATTCCGTTTCCGTACAACTAACATAACATACGCGTAACACATCTTTGTATTAAGTTTTTGTCAAATAAAGATCAGGTTCTGGCTCCAGCTCCGTTTCCGTACACACAACATATCTTTTTTAAATCGAGTTTCTCTCAAATAACGAGAACGTTCTGGCTCTAGCTTCGTTCCCGTACACACATCTAATCTTTCAGATTAAGTTTCTGTCAAATTAAGATCAGATTCTGGCTCTAGCGCAGTTCCCGTACGCGTAACACATCTTTGTATTAAGTTTCTGTCAAATAAAAATCAGGTTCTGGCTCTAGCGCAGTTCCCGTACACACAACATATCTTTTTTTAGATCGAGTTTCTCTCAAATAACGAAAACTTTCTGGCTCTAGCTCCGTTCCCGTACACATCCAATCTTTTAGATTTAGTTTCTGTCAGATTAAGATCAAATTCTGGCTCTAGCGCAATTCTCGTACGCATAACACATCTTTAGATTAAGTTTCTGTCAAATTAAGATCAGGTTCTGGCTCTAGCTCCGTTCCCGTACACACATCTAATCTTTCAGATTAAGTTTCTGTCAAATTAAGATCAAATTCTGGCTCTAGCGCAATTCTCGTACGCATAACACATCTTAGATTAAGTTTCTGTCAAATAAAGATCAGGTTCTGGCTCTAGCTCCGTTCCCGTACACACATCTAATCTTTCAGATTAAGTTTCTGTCAAATTAAGATCAAATTCTGGCTCTAGCGCAATTCTCGTACGCATAACACATCTTTAGATTAAGTTTCTGTCAAATTAAGATCAGGTTCTGGCTCCAGCTCCGTTCCCGTACACACATCTAATCTTTCAGATTAAGTTTCTGTCAATTTAAGATCAAATTCTGGCTCTAGCGCAATTCTCGTACGCATAACACATCTTTAGATTAAGTTTCTGTCAAATTAAGATCAGGTTCTGGCTCTAGCGCAGTTCCCGTACGCGTAACACATCTTTAGATTAAGTTTCTGTCAAATAAAGATCAGATTCTGGCTCCAGCTCCGTTCCCGTACACACAACATATCTTTTTTAAATCGAGTTTCTCTCAAATAACGAGAACGTTCTGGCTCTAGCTTCGTTCCCGTACACACATCTAATCTTTCATATTAAGTTTCTGTCAAATTAAGATCAGATTCTGGCTCTAGCGTAGTTCCCGTACACATCCAATCTTTTAGATTTAGTTTCTGTCAGATTAAGATCAAATTCTGGCTCTAGCGCAATTCTCGTACGCATAACACATCTTTAGATTAAGTTTCTGTCAAATTAAGATCAGGTTCTGGCTCTAGCTCCGTTCCCGTACACACATCTAATCTTTCAGATTAAGTTTCTGTCAATTTAAGATCAGATTCTGGCTCTAGCGCAATTCCCGTACGCATAACACATCTTTAGATTAAGTTTCTGTCAAATAACGAGAACGTTCTGGCTCCAGCTCTGTTCCCGTACACACATCCAATCTTATAGATTAAGTTTCTGTCAAATTAAGATCAAATTCTGGCTCTAGCGCAATTCCCGTACGCATAACACATCTTTAGATTAAGTTTCTGTCAAATTAAGATCAGGTTCTGGCTCCAGCTCCGTTCCCGTACACACATCTAATCTTTCAGATTAAGTTTCTGTCAAATTAAGATCAAATTCTGGCTCTAGCGCAATTCCCGTACGCATAACACATCTTTAGATTAAGTTTCTCTCAAATAACGAGAACGTTCTGGCTCCAGCTCCGTTCCCGTACATACATCTATCTAATCTTTCATATTAAGTTTCTGTCAAATTAAGATTAGATTCTGGCTCCAGCTCCGTTCCCGTACATACATCTAATCTTTTTTTAGACTAAGTTTCTGTCAAATAAAGATCATGTTCTGGCTCCAACTCCGTTCCCGTACCCCACAACCCAACGATCTCCTAATCGAACCCGATTCGAATTCGCAGGTACATGCACATGCTGCAGCACGTCTACCGCACCAAGAACTTCACCAAACCGGGCCAGTACGTCAAGTGCTTCCACAACACCGACAAGGTGCTCACGTTGCACAATCACTTCCCGCTCAGCTGCCTCGGCAGCGGCTGCACCAGCTACCCCATCGAGACGGGCGACGCGCAGCTCCATCACTATCGCGCCGATTGCGTCAAGACGCTGAAGAAGAGCTGCGAGGAGTTCAGGAAGACCAGCGTGATGGACACCGCCGTGTGGAGGTTCAAGGAGCCGCTGGTGAACCGGGTGACGAAGACGCTGAGGGTCCTGGGGTTCTTCGGGGACGCGCAGAATTCGGTGAAATGAACGATTGGAGGGGGGAAGGGGGGGGTTGTGAAGGGCGTGGAGGGTGCGTAGGGGATTCCCGGGATTGGCGGTTTGTTGTGGAGAGTGTTGGGGTTCTTTGGGGATTCACAGAATTCGAGTGTTCAAAGCTAACTTTGTTATCTTTGATGGTGCTGGAGGTTTTTCGGGGATTTCCAGGATTGTCGGTTTGTTGTAGAAAGTTCTGGGGTTCTTCGGGGAATCCCGGAATTCGATTAGATAATCGAGTGTTCAAAGCTAACTTTGAACTAACTTTGATAACTCCTGGAGGTTTTTCGGGGATTCCCGGGATTGTCGGTTGTGTTGTGGAGAGTCCTGGGGTTCTTCGGGGAATCCCGGAATTCGATTAGATAATCGAGTGTTCAAAGCTAACTTTGAACTAACTTTGATAACTCCTGGAGGTTTTTCGGGGATTCCTAGGATTGTCGGTTTGTTGTGGGGGGGTTCTTCGGGGATTCCCGGGATTGTCGGTTTGTTGTAGAGAGTTCTGGGGTTCTTCGGGGAATCCCGGAATTCGATTAGATAATCGAGTGTTCAAAGCTAACTTTGAACAAACTTTGATAACTCCTGGAGGTTTTTCGGGGATTCCCAGGATTGTCGGTTTGTTGTGGGGGGGTTCTTCGGGGATTCCCGGGATTGTCGGTTTGTTGTGGAGAGTCCTGGGGTTCTTCGGGGACTCCCGGAATTCGATGAATTGATCGAGATCGAGTTAGCTTTGAAGGTCCTGGAGGTTCTTGGGGGATTCCCGGAATTCGATTAGATAATCGAGTGTTCAAAGCTAACTTTGTTATCTTTGATGGTCCTGGAGGTTCTTGGGGGATTCCCGGATGAATTCCAGGATTATCGGTTTGTTGTGGGGAGAGGTTCTTCGGGGATTCCTCGGATTGTTGGTTTGTTGAAGAGGATTCTGGGGTCCTTCGGGGATTTCCAAGACTTATCGAATTGTTAGAGAGGGTTCTAGGGTTCTTCCGGGATTCCCAGAATTATCGATTTATTGAAGAGGTCCTGGGGTTCTTTGGAGATTCCCAGAATTAGATTAAATAATGTAGTTTTCAAAGCTAAGTTTGTTTTCTTGTCCTGGGATTCTTCGGGAATTCTCCGAATTTTCGATATATCTTTAATTTTCCTGGAATTCCCAGTATTATCAAATTTATCGTTGATTGTCTTGAGATTATTCAGGAATTCCCAGAATTCTCAATTTATTATAGATTTGTCCTGGGATTTCCGAATTTTAGATTTATCTTTGATTGTCCTGGGATTTTGGAGGATTCCCAGATTTCTCGATTTTTCATTGATTGTCCTGGGATTGTTCTGGGATTCTCCTAATTCTCAATTTATTATAGATTTGTCCTGGGATTCCCCGAATTTTAGATTTATCTTTGATTGTCCTGGGATTCTTCGAGGATTCCCAGAATTCTCGATTTTTCATTGATTATCCTGTGATTGTTCGAGGATTAGGAAAGGACAAAACGAATCGATTCATTGTTGAGGGTCTTATTATTATTATTATTATTTTTTTTAGTGTTTAACGAGTTCCTTTTCTTAGCGTAATTTAATGACATTTATCAGAACTGATATTAGGTAAACGAGAAAAAAAGAAGATATCACAAAATGTGGTTGAAATTATGGAAATTATAGTTCGGAATTTCCGGATATTTAATTATATACAGGGTGAATCGTTATATCGAAACGATTAAGTTTTGTAGCAAGGTTGAAAAAAAAAATCAAATTGTATGTATAATGTAACGTATAAATTTGTGATATTTTAGTTTTATATTACACATTTATATACAGGGTGAGTCACGAGGGACACTCTTAAAGTACAATTCCTCACGACTCGACTTGTATAATTATTTAATTTTACGCGCGCTCCCCCTTACAGTTCCAGGGCCGGATTTTCCTATATCCTCGGGCTTCAAAATTTGCCCCACTTTCCCCCCAATATAATAATTAATAATGATATTTACAAACTTAAAAATAATGTAAAAATGGATTATTCCGGGGTCTCTATTAATCTAAATCCGGCCCTGGGTATACAGGGTGAGTCACGAGGAATACTCTCGAAGTACGTACAATTCCTCACGATTCACCCTGTATAATTGTTTAATTTTACGCGCTTGTCCCCTACAGTTCCAGCGCCGGATTCTCCCATTGTTTAATAGACTTTTGGGGCCTCAAAATCGAGCAGGGGGGGGGCTCAATTCGATTTACCCCACTTTACCCCAATTTAGTACCAATTTATTCCAATGTATTGATGAAAGGGTCCCCGTAAAAAATGGAATTTTCCCGGGGAGGGGCTCTTTTCGTCTAAATCCGGCCCTGCGTACAGGTCAGTAGATTCTTTTTTTATTTAGATAATTTGCTCAAATAATTTTTTCGCCATTATTTCGTTTAAATTAGAACAAAATTGTTGCTCAACTTGATTATTTAATTTGTACCGCACAATAAGACGGTATACAGGGTGTCCCAATGAAGGTACGAGCCGATTTAACGGGATAGTTTTCATTGGGACGCCCTGTATAACTAGAAAATTATACGTACACTTAAGTGCCTGAGAAAATGATGTTTTTTAATGGTAAAAATTTTGAAAAAAAAAAATTGAAAATTCGTGTACGGGATGTCCCGAAGTACGGCGTTTAAAATAGTAAGAATTAATATACAGTGTGTCCCAAACTCGCTTATCTGTACATTGAGATAATAGGAGTCGAGATCACTGTATAAAACAGAAATCTGGGACACGCTGTATACATTTTTCACGTGGATTTTTTGTACAGCTACTTTTCATTGGGACACCCTGTATAACCAGATACTCGTACGTACATTTAAGTGCCTGAGAAAATGATGTTTTAAATTTTTGAAAATAAAATTGAAAAGTCGTGTACGGGATGTCCCGAAATAGTACGAATTATTACAGTGTGTCCCAAATTCGCTACTCTAAACATTCAGACAAAATAATGATTTTTTAAGGGTAAAAATTTTGAAAAAAATTGCAAATTTGTGTACGGGATGTCCCGAAATACGTGCGTATTAAAAGTATAAATTAATACAGTGTGTCCCAAATTCGCTACTTTAAACATTGAGACAAAATAATGTTTTTTAAGGGTAAAAATTTTGGAAAAAAAATACGGGATGTCCCGAAGTCCGTGCGTTTAATATAGCACGAATTAATACAGTGTGTCCCAAATTCGCTACTCTAAACATTGAGACAAAATAATGTTTTTTTGAGGGTAAAAATTTTGGAAAAAAATACGGGATGTCCCGAAGTCCGTGCGTTTAATACAGCACGAATTAATACAGTGTGTCCCAAATTCGCTGATCTATACATTAAAATAATAGCAGAGATCCTTGTACAGAGCAGCGAATCCGGGACAACCTGTATACATTTTTCCACGTGGATTTTTCTCGTAAGAGCTTTAAAAATAATAAACAAAACAGTCGTGCCTTCGTAAAAAACACAAACTCACTATATTCGATTACTATCTATTTATTGTATATTTATGTATGAAAAAAATTTTTTGTATCGTAAACTGGAAAATACAAGTTTATTTATGAGACATCCTGGTTTCATTTTACCGCGCGAAATACCGTCGCATTTCGTCCAAGGCCTTGTACCTGTGGGATATTTTATTTTTCTCCGATTTATCCATTTCGGCGTAGGTAACATCGTAGCCCTTGGGTTGGAAACAGGGGTCCCAACCGAAGTCCCTAGGACCTCTGGGGCTCACTATACAACCCTCAGTTACACCTGGAATTGAATTTTTTGGGTTAATCGAGCCGAAATAAAGCGAAAATCAAGAATAAATTTTTTCGATATCTCGCTTCGTTTTCGAGATATCGATACTTGAAGTTGAACATTTTTTTTTGCTTTATACTCGTATTAATAAATATTTAGAGTATCAGAGTGCTCTGCTCTACTCTGCTCTTAATCTGTTTTTAATCTGCTCTGTTCTTATTCTGCTCTGTTCTTATTCTACTCTGTTCTTAATCTGCTCTGTTCTTAAATTGCTCTGTTCTTAAATTGCTCTGTTCTAAATCTGCTCTGTTCTAAATCTGCTCTGTTCTTAATCTGCTCTGTTCTTAATCTGCTCTGTTCTTAATCTGCTCTGTTCTTAATCTGCTCTGTTCTAAATCTGCTCTGTTTTTATTCTGCTCTGTTCTTAAATTGCTCTATTCATAAACTCCTCTTTTCTTATTCTGCTCCGTTCTTAATCTGCTCTGTTTTTAATCTCCTCTGTTCTAAATCTGCTCCTTTCTTAATCTGCTCTGTTCTTAATCTCCTCTGTTCTAAATCTGCTCTGTTCTTAATCTGCTCTGTTCTTAAATTGCTCCGTTCTTAAACTGCTCTTAAACTGCTCTGCTCTTAATCTGCTCTGTTCCTAATCTGCTCTGTTTTTAATCTGCTCTGTTCTTATTCTGCTCTGTTCTTAATCTGCTCTGTTCTTAATCACCTCTGTTCTAAATCTCCTCTGTTCTAAATCTGCTCCTTTATTAATCTGCTCTGTTCTTAAATTGCTCCGTTCTTAAACTGCTCTTAAACTGCTCTGCTCTTAATCTGCTCTGTTCCTAATCTGCTCTGTTTTTAATCTGCTGTTTTTAATCTGCTCTGTTCTTATTCTGCTCTGTTCTTAATCTGCTCTGTTCTTATTCACCTCTGTTCTACATCTCCTCTGTTCTAAATCTGCTCCTTTATTAATCTGCTCTGTTCTTAAACTGCTCTGTTCTTAATCTGCTCTGTTCTTAAACTGCTCTGTTCTTAATCTGCTCTGTTTTTAATATCCTCTGTTCTAAATCTGCTCGTTTCTTAATCTGCTCTGTTCTAAACCTACTCTGTTCTTATTCTGCTCCGTTCTTAATCTGCTCTGTTTTTAATATCCTGTTCTAAATCTGATCTGTTCTTAAACTGCTTTGTTCTTAATATTCTCTGTTCTTAAACTGCTCTTTTCTTAATCTGTTCTGTTCTTAATCTGCTCTTCTCTGAATCTGCTCTACTCTGAATCTACTCCACTCTGAATCTACTCCACTCTGAATCTACTTCACTTTGAATCTACTCCACTCTGAATCTACTCTACCCTACTCTACTCTGACTCACTCTACTCTGATTCACTCTACTCTGACTCACTTCTACTCTGACTCACTTCTACTCTGACTCACTTCTACTATGATTCACTCTACTCTGAATCACTCTACTCTGAGTCATTCTACTCTTCTAATAACTTCAAGTATCGATATCTCGAAAACGGAGCGAGATATCAAAAAAAATCATTCTTCATTTTCGCTTTATTTTGACCCAATTAACCAAAAAAAAGTTGTCAAGGAAATCGTACTCTCCTCATCCCACTTCTAAGAGTTCTAAGAGGGACACCCTGTATAACACGAACCTTGAAACAGGACGACCTCGTCGCCGTCTTGCCCCGCGTGATAGGCGAACGTGCAAACGGCCCGGGCGGATTTGTCTTCGTATCCGTGCAGCATCCGATGTAGACCCTCGGGGCCCAGTTTCTCCAGGAACCACTTGACGTAGGGGCCCGGTAGACCCTTCAGGGACTGGAAACAGAGGGCGGTGTCTTCGACTATGACGGGGCCCCCGATTTGCCTGTAGGCCTCTTTGGCTTTGAGCGTGGAAATGTCGTCGATGTCGCCTTGGAGCTCCGGCAAATCCAGTTTTTTGCTCACTAGTTGCCTGGGAAAGTCGCCGCCTAGGATCTGGACGACTTCTTCCAGTTTTTTGGCGTTGCCGGTCACGAATGTTATGGTTTTCGACATTGTTATACAATGTAAGCGTGTGAAATTTGTTTATTTATAATGGTGACTTCTAACCACACTTTTTCGAATAATACGCTTGACGTTAGGCACTTATCACGGCTTGTTAAACGTCAAAACTGTCAGTCGGTAGATTGAAAAATGTTTCTTCGTGATGAATAAACGTGCATTGTGGGATTTTATTCTAAAGATAGTCGTTAAAAGATTAATTAGTTACAATTCTAACATTTTAATCTCACTTTTTCAAATGAAACACGTGAAGTTAGGCACTTATCGCGGCTACTCGACTAGTCAGCTAAACGTCAATTCTGTCAATATTAAAAAAAATGTTTTTCTTTGTGCTAAATAAAAGTGTTCCACCGTCAGATTCTACCTTTAACTCATCAAAATATTAATTATTTATAATTCTAACATCATAATCTTACATTTTCTTATTCAAATACAACACGCGAAGTTAGGCACCCGACAAACGTCAAAACTGTCAGTCGGTAGATTGAAAAATGTTTCTTCGTGATAAATAAATATGCATTGTGGGATTTTATTCTAAATATAGTAGTTAAAAGATTAATTAGTTACAATTCTAACATTTTAATCTCACTTTTACAAATGAAACACGTGAAGTTAGGCACTTATCGCGGCTACTCGACTAGTCAGGTAAACGTCAATTCTGTCAATATTCAAAAAAAATGTTTTTCTTTGTGCTAAATAAAAGCGTTCCACCGTTAGATTCTACCTTTAACTCATCAAAATAATAATTATTTATAATTCTAACATCATAATCTCACCTTTTCTTATTCAAATACAACACGCGAAGTTAGGCACCCGACAAACGTCAAAACTGTCAAACTGTCAAAGTGGTCAAAATAAAAATATAATTATTTAAAAAAAAAAATGCTTCTTTGTGTTAAATAAAAACGAAATCCCGCACTAATTACAACAAAAATGGAACAAGTCCGTCTGTTGGTGCAAGAAGAAGGCCGAGAGGCGAGGAATCTGCTGGCCTTCAACATATCAGCAGCAAAAGACGAATTCAGAAGTAAGCATTTTACTCGTTTGTCGCATTTATTGTACTCATTTAACGATTTACGACCAGATAAAGTGGCCCGGAAGCCCCCTTGTTCGCCCAGAACCCACCCGGAATCCATTACAAAGGGGCACAATCTGCGATCCCGAACGGGTGCCCGAGTGCGCTCGGCCTCGACCGGACGGGACAAACGGTCAGAACTGAGAGCCAGGTATTGGGCGTTGCTCTTCGGGAACCTCCAGAGATCCGTAAGTACCCACCTAAATGTACCCAAAATTACATTTAATTCGTTTTTATTCGTAGATCGCCGAGATTTACAGCACGGTGGAGACCCACGAGAGCCTCACCGAGTGCCAGGAGGTGCTCTTAGTCCTCGAGAACTACCTGAGAGACTTCACCGCCCTAGCGGATTGGTTCCGATTGAAATGGGACTACGAGAACACCCCGGCTTTGCAAAGACCCACTTCCTTAACGTGGGACATATGCAAGACTAATCTATCGAAGAGCTGCAAATCCGGAAAATCCAGTCCTAATTTAGGTAACTTAACGTCCGTAATCGAAGATTTAATAAACTTCCGGTTGTAGGATCGGGTAGAAGTAGTCCGAATGTATCCGGGAAAATCAGTCCGATCGTACAGAGGGTGGCGAATAGAACGAAATCCTGTCCGACGAGTCCTTCGCCTCAGGTGGATGCGCAGCCAGGAAATGCCGGAACGGTGGAAGAGAGGCCGGGCGATCGTTCGGAGAAAGTATCCCAAACCGATGGTGTTCCGGATGGAACCGAAGGAGTGTATCCGGAACCAGTGAGTTTCGCCGAAAAGGGTATATCTACCGTGGAAGATCCTGTGGATAAAGTGTGTACTAGTACCCAGTACGATAATACTGTTAATCAAAGTATGTATTAATTACGCTTGTAAATGCACTATTAGGCAGTACGAGGGTCAGGTGAAAAGTTTTCGGACTGACGTAGGACTTTGAAAGACGGCGATTTAGTTCGAAATCTTTAGTTCGAAATGGTTCTAAATGGTTCTAAAGCGTTATAAATGGTTCTGAAGCTTTCTGGATTGTTGTACGCGATTCTTAATAATTCTGGAGCGTTCTAAATGGTTCTAGATAGTTAGAAATTATTCTGGAGCGTTCTAAATAGTGCTAAACTATTCTGGAGCGTTCTAAACAGTTCTAATTGATTCTTGAGTGTTCTAAATGGTTCTGAAGCTTTCTAAATGGTTTTAGACACTTCTATAATGATTCTAAAGCGTTTTAAATGGCTCTAAATGAGTGTGGAGCGTTCTAATTGGTTCTGGAGCGTTCTAAATGGTTCTAGATAGTCCTAAATGATTCTGGAGCTTTCTAAATAATTCTGAAGCGTTCTAAAATGAGTCTAAGATGAGTCTGGAGCGTTCTGAATGGTTCTGAAGCGTTCTAAATGATTCTAAAACTCCAATTTATTAAACAAAATACAAATTCATTTATTAATTTTCGTTATTAATCGATATATTGCTATTAGAAGTAATCAACTTAATTTTCATGTCTATACTTTAAATCGAATGACATCTATTAAAACCTTCTTTAAATTAAACAAAACAATAAATACTTCACAACAGCGCGCTCCAGAACCACTTAGAACTGTCTACAAGCATTTAGAAATGTTTAGAGAACTGCTTAGAACGATCCAGAACGCCCCAGAACTATTTAGAACTGTCTAGAACTACTTAGAACGCCCAAGAACCATTCAGATGATTCTGGAGCGTTCTAAACTGTTTTAAATAATTCTGGACCGTTCTAAATGGTTTTAGATAGTTCTAAACGATTCTGGAGCGTTCTAAATGGTTCTAAAGCGTTCTAGATTGTTGTAGACAGTTTATAAATGATTCCGGTGCGATCTAAAATGATTTAGGTGGTTCTAAATGATTCTGGAGCGTTCTAAATTGTTTTTAGACACTTCTAAATTGATTTTGAAGCGTTCTAAAACGATCTAGATAATTCTAAATGATTCTGGAGCGTTCTAAATGGTTCTAAAGCGTTCTAGATTGTTGTAGACACTTCTACATGATTCTGGAGCGTTCTAAATGGTTCTAAAGGGTTCTAGATTGTTGTAGACAGTTATAAATGATTCCGGTGCGATCTAAAATGATTTAGGTGGTTCTGAATGATTCTGGAGCGTTCTAAATTGTTTTTAGACACTTCTAAATTGATTTTGAAGCGTGCTAAAACGATCTAGATAATTCTAAATGATTCTGGAGCGTTCTAAATGGTTCTAAAGTGTTCTAGATTGTTGTAGACACTTCTACATGATTCTGGAGCGTTCTAAATGGTTCTAAAGGGTTCTAGATTGTTGTAGACAGTTATAAATGATTCCGGTGCGATCTAAAATGATTTAGGTGGTTCTGAATGATTCTGGAGCGTTCTAAATTGTTTTTAGACACTTCTAAATTGATTTTGAAGCGTGCTAAAACGATCTAGATAATTCTAAATGATTCTGGAGCGTTCTAAATGGTTCTAAAGTGTTCTAGATTGTCATAGACACTTCTACATGATTCTGGAGCGTTCTAAATTGTTTTTAGATAGTTCCAAAATGATTCTGAAGCTTTCTAAACGGTCCAGAAGCTTTCTAAATGGCTTTAGAAACTTCTAAAATGAGTCTGGGAGCGTTCTTAAATGATTTAGATACTTCTAAACGATTCAGTCCGAGAACTTCCCCGCCCTATCCTCCTATTTACCAGTACAAAAGCGCAGATTCAACACCAACGAATTCGATTTTTCAGAATCTCAATTAACGAAGAAGAAACCCGACGTCGCCGTCAAAACGAAACCCAACCAAAAACCTACCGCAGTAAAACCGTCCGGTTCGCAACCGAAACCCAAACCGATCGAACCGAACAGACCTTCGACCGGCAAGCACCACAACCACCCAGCTTCGAAGAAATCCCCCCCTTCATCGGACAAAACCGGCAAAGAACAAGAACAAGAACAAGAACAAGAACGACAAGAAAAAGAGACAGACGAAGATGGAATTCCAGAGCATTCTAAGACTATCATAGTGAATATAGCGAAGAATCTCGACTCGCCGAGCGAAGACCAGCGAACGTACGATACACTGCGCAAAGTGAACGTGCAGAGCGCCGAGAAGGCCACCTGCACCGATTTCTGCGATTTTCCCAAGCTCCCCGCGCGCCGTACCAACGTAGTAAAAGTCCACAGGGACTGCCAGACCGACGAGTGCGAGGCCGGCAAGCCGTCGAGATCGGTCAAACCGAACGAGCACCAGAAAGAGGCGAAATCGGTCAAAGGTGGCGGGGCGTCGGCGAGGGCCGCCTATTCGGCGGCTTTGTCGAAGGGCGCCGCGACGGCGTCGAAAACGGCGCCGGCGTCGAGGTGTAAAGTGGAGGCGAGCAAGGCCGGTGGTGTCGGGTGAGTCTCGATTCGTTCTAACGGAGTGGGTAATTAGTAGTAGGCCGAATAGTCCTGGTAGCCGAGGCCGTAAATTGGTAACTAGAAGAAAAAGAAGAAGGGACTTGGGGCTTGTTCATAGAGAATATAGAGTGGAAAAAGCGTGTATTCGTAGATGGCACAAATTGAATTTTGCGCATACTGTCACTTGTCATTTAAGGTAGATACCGGTGTTGCCAGATGTAGCGGAATTTTAACACAGCGTTGCCAGAAGTAACGGAAATCCACTACTTTTAGGCGATCTTGTGTAGGCCTTATATAGTTAAAATCTTATATACTAATAGTATATATGATCTAAGGTTAAAATAAAAGACTAAATAAATAAACGATACGAAATAAAATGAATGTTAACAAAATGAATGAAATTTTCTATTACTACAAGTATCAAAAATTTTAAATCATAATAAAAATATACCATATGACCGAATTATTCCGCTGCAAGCATTAGAATTAGAATCTCAATCAATTCTATAAGATAGTTAGGAACAGGAACTTGTATATCGGTTATTCGCTTCGCTTCGTGCGAATACCGAGCATTTGCTCTCTTTATTCCTTACATAACAAAAGTTCAATTAGCTATCTCATTATTTTCGTTGACTTTTCTACCTTAAATGACATGACAATGTCAAAATTGTCAAATCTGTCAAATTCAATTTGTTCCATTATTTTCACGCGCATCCGTATGCTTTTGCCACTCTATATTTCTCTATGGGCTTGTTTCGTATAAATGACAAGTCCTGTCGAAGAAGTGTAGTCTAAATTTGACTGGAGTATTTGACAAGTTTGTGTTTCAT